CTAATCCTACTGCAGGGTGCTAACTTATGATGGCATAGGATTGCCTGCTTCCTAGTTTTCACTGAAAAACCCCCAAGATTACAAATACTGTAAAATACTGGAAGAAGAGCTGAGAACACATAATGAACAACGACAAAAAGAACACAGAATAATTAGCATAAATTATAAACTCTGCACAAACTGCACATTTACTGCTGAATTCAGGCAATGCAGCAGGCGTCCCTTGGAAGGTGAGAAACCACGTGCTCCCATGAGACCTTTCTCCTCCTCTGGAAGGGTCGACTACTACTTCCTGTTTTTCAAACAGAGCATTGATGAATTATGATTAACAGCTATGTAGAAAATACCTGTATTATGTATATCCACATAAATAATAGATAATATACTTTCGGTTTTACCTACTTTATATTGTAGATTACAGTAAAACCTTGATTTGCAAGCATAATTCATTCCAGAAACATGCTTGTAATCTAAAGTACTTGTATATCAAAGCAAATTTCCCCATAAAAAATAATCAAAACTCAGATGACTCCTTCCACAACCCAAAAATATTCATATAAAAATGATTACTATACTGTAATATAATACAAAATAATAAAGAAAATAAAAAATATAAAGAAAAATAAATTAACCTGCACTTGCCTTTGAAAACCTTCGTGGCTGGTGTGAGGGAGACGAGAGAGGAGGGTTGTTGTGCAGGACTTTCACTGTCACTAAGAGAATCGCTGCTCTCTGTTGGCTCAGTGCAATCCTTTTCTTTTCTTGATTTCAGCTCTTTTCTTGATGCAGCTTTAATAAGGAACCTATCCAACGCGCCTGCTTTTGCCTCCTTTGGAGGAGTTCGCGGAAATGTGACATTGGCGTTAAACAGATTCATCGCTCGCACTGCAACAGCCTTATGCGGTGGTGCCTTTCTACAAAATTCTGCACTGTTCCCCACATTTTACACATCTCCCTAATCTCCTCTGAAGTGAGGGGTTCCTCCATCTTTTTTTCCTCTCCCTCTGCAGACGAAATGCAGACATAGACTTACAAAATCCCGCAATTTCGGCCATGCGCATACCTCGTTCGTACTTCTCCATGATTTCCTTCTTAACTTGCACCATAATCATCTCCTTCTTACTGCCTTTCTTTTCAACCTTTTTCTGCATGGGGGCCATTGTATACGCTCACACGGATGTTGACTACAGTACAGCATTAATAAACTATTGTCATATACTGTATTTAATGTAAGTGGCAAGAAAGCAGCAGAGGAAAGGGTCTGTGGAAAAGCAGACCCTAAGGAAAGCAAAGGACTGTCCACAGGTGCTTCGAAGTGACAAAAATACACTAGTGCCAGTGGTGGGCACCTTCCAATGTTCTGAAAAATTACTGATTTCTGCCAAACACTGTGGCCTGAGACCGAGGATCCAAGCATGGGAGATGATCACCCGCAATCCTGCAGAGAGAAAGAGAGAGTGAGAGAGAGAGAGAAGATCCATTGGCTCAGTTGTGATCATGTGACATTCAGCATCACATACTACTCGTATGGCAAGACATCGCTCGTTTATCAAATTAAAATTTATTAGAAATGTTTGCTTGTCTTGCAGAACACTCACAGAACAAGTTACTCGCAACCCAAGGTTTTAATGTATCTCTAAATTAAAAATAATTTCATAAAATGCAGAACAGTATATTCATGGCATATACTGAATATAGGAAATACACATCAGTTTATTAAACTTCTATTTCAGTTATTTAGATGGTTTTCTTTTTTTTTATTTTTTTTTTAATGTTTATTTATTTTTGAGACAGAGACAGAGCATGAACGGGGGAGGGTCAGAGAGAGAAGGAGACACAGAATCTGAAACAGGCTCCAGGCTCTGAGCCGTCAGCACAGAGCCCGACGCGGGGCTTGAACTCACAGACCGCGAGATCGTGACCTGAGCCAAAGTCGGACGCTTAACCGACTGAGCCACCCAGGCGCCCCTAGATGGTTTTCTATATACAGGTACATGCTGGACCATAAAGTAGACTAATTTCTTACTTTGGAATGATCCAACATGTTAGAAAGCCCCCACTCTTATATCACAGTTGGCTGAGGAACAAAAGTGTCTGAGCGCCAGCTGAAGAGGCCAGAGTGAACACCACCACCCACCTGTCCTGTCCGTCCACAGTGGGAACTCCTCATGACCAGGCTGTCATCGCTCTGGGATAGGCTCAGACTTTATTGCCTGGTCTTTTCAGATTGGCAGCCAGGCAGCAATCTTTGTTTAAAGGACCTTACTTCCCCCCTTTCTTACAGCAGTTTGCAGAGCCGGGAATTCTGTTGATAGCTTCCCGGCTACTTATAGCTCCGTCACCAGTTTAGAAGTGGTTCCATTTTTCAAATCTTTACTCTGCCCACGTGACTTAAGAGAAGCCTCTTCCACAGTAATGTGGGGATCCTGTTGCCCTGGCCTGTCCTATCACTCCCAGTCTAACGGAGCACTGTCAGCATGAGCCCACAGATGCCAATGAATCTCATACTACCATTTCCAAAGAAAAGCCTGTGTGTGTTTTGGTGTTTGTTTTTTAAACTATATAGAAATTTCTATTAACCTCGGGTAATGCATAAGCAATTAAGCTATCCTCTGAGAGTAAATCTGTAACAACCATCGCACATCATATCTAGATAAGCTATGTAAGTTTTTGAAATTTGGAAGCTAATAAAGTTGAAATTGTCAGCAAAAAAAAAAAGTTTTTAAACAAAACCACTGGAAATAATAAGCATGAAAGAAAATGGGCATATATGAAAAGGAAAACAGGATTTTTATTTTTTTATTATTATTTTTTTTTTAGATAAGGAATGGTATGAAGGACATCCTTGTGTGTGTGCATTTTGGGGTGGGAGTGGGGGTAGAAAAAAAAGTAATTTTTTCCTCAAGTAAATACATTGTTCCAGAATGAGAAAAAAGATAGGACAGATCTAAATAGATATAGAAAGTTGTAGGGGCACCTGGGTGGCCCAGTCAGTTGAGCGATTGACTCTTGATTTCAGCTCAGGTCTCTGTCTCCCCTCTGCCCCTCTCCTCTGCTCATGTGCACTCATGCTTGCTTTCTCGGTCTCAAAAAAAAAAAAAAAAAAAAAAAAAGAAGAAAAAGAAAAAAGGTGTAGAAGGTTTGTGTAAAAAGAATCTTGAGAAAGGACTTTTATATCTGGTCAAGCTGGCTACAAGTTAAATTGTTATTATAAGGGTTTTAAAATTAAGCCTTACTACCAATAACATACTTATGTAAAACTAAAAATGATCTCTTATCTGTTAAAAGGACAAAGTTTTCTTGGACTATTGGTCTGCTTTTGATAAAATATTGTGAAAGGTTTTACCTTTTAAAGAAATCTAATTAGAAAGCAAAGATTTTGTGTTTTATCAAAATAATTTCTTGTACTTCATGTTAGTCTTTACCATCAGGTGTTTGATTACTCAAGTAAACTAAGTCTTCTGGATATTAAGAGAGCTAAGTTTTAGCAACAATGATGTAACAACCCATTGTATTTGCCTCTGAAATCTTTAATTGTCACTTTGATCCAATAGGCAAGTAAATATTGTTTCAAAATGGTCTGTGATCCTACCCGGTCAAGTGTCCAAAACCTTTTGATACTTTTTGACAAACTTCCCCAAATCAAATTCTAAAATTAAGTTCTTTTGACCTAAAAGTGACTTGGAGAATATAAAAGGGGAGATGTTACGCTAATTAGCATTATTTGATATGTTATATTACATGGGCAGCAATGTGAAATAAGAATACTAAGCCTCCTTTTTGTGGTATTTGTATATGCATACATTATAAGTGTTCTAGAAATTCTATAAAATCCTGAAATTTCTAATGTCCTGCTACAATGTTATCAATCATAATTCTGGTTCTCTTGAGATGTTTTTCATGGAAATAACCAAATTTCTTTGTCAGTGATCTAACGAACTCTCCTCAGATCTCTAACCGTTGCTATTTGTACGTCTTTTGTCAGCTACAGATGATTGTTTCAAGAGCTTCCTCCTGAAAGCGACTCATGACGAAGACTCTGACAAATGCTCTGGAACACAGGTTTTGATCAACTGAAGATCACAGCACTGCACTGATAAGAATTTCTAAAACTGTCATGGAAAACTGACTGCTTTCATATTCTGCTTTCCAGAGCTAAAGGTCCCCTTTTCTCCTCTCCTTTAAAGCTCTCTATAACGTCGGGTAATTTGGTAAAGTGTACCTTTACAACAAAGGTTGAAACATGGATCTTTTTCTCCCTACCCAATCCCTCCAGATTCTGAAACTCTTCTCCAGTGTTGTCATGTTTCACGACCATGCGTGTATTTGCAGAGACTTAGTAAGAATCTTTTCTCCTTGTAACAGACTCCCACCCCCACCAGGCCCCTGCTCTTTGACCTGCAGTCGATAAAAGGAGATACCCTTCGACACTGGAAAGGCCTAATTGCGTCTACTAAAAGGACAGCACTTTGGTCGTCATCACACTGCTGCTCCCAGGAGATGGGGACCTTAAACATTGCACCTTGCAACCTGGGGACTTCATCTACTGGAAAAGACATCTCCGCAAAGACACTCTTCAACTCCACTGGGAAGACCCATAGCAGCTACTGTCAACCAATGCTTGTGCCACCAAACTTCAGACTCTTGGATTCATGTGTCACATCTAAAGACAGCACCAAACCCTGGCTGGACCTGTACCCCAACTGGTGACCTGAATGTAAAGATTTCTAGGAATTGAAGCCAATGACAGCTGAAGGAGACCGCTTTCCCAAGATGGCCAGGCCAAGCCAGTACACCTTTTTCTCCCCACTGCTTCTTACTTGGTTATTTCCCCCCCACCCCCCTTACTCTTGAAAACGCAATGCTCTTCTCCACATTTCTCTGTCTACTGCAAAAGGCAGAAACCTCTGAATGTTGGATCGGTTGCCAGAAATTCCAATCTGTTTATGATGTCAGAGGCCCCTTGGCCTTACTCGTAATTATTTTCTCTTCAGTCCCCAGGCCCACTGCTGACTTACCTACAAGCCCATGGAGGTGACCTGTCGGGTTAGGTTGTTACGGCCAGGTGTTCCCATGCTGGTTTCAGCCTGTCCCCAGTTGTAACCGTGCCAGCTCAGGTAAACACCTCAGCCTCTGTCAGCCCCCCTTCCCTCACTCCCCGCATCTTTTCCTTACCTAAATACAATCTGTTTCCCTGCACCCAGGGGGAAAAAACCAGGTCTAGACTCCCCTGTGAGGTTTTTAGAAAAAAAAAATCCCTTTAGGAGGGAATAATCTCTCACAGAATGTTACCTCAAACTTTCTGAGCCATAACTTGAAAGGGTCAGTCAGGACATTCGGCTAGTGAATCTATCAATAACCAGACCTGAGCTGGCGTCCCCGAGGCTCCACCTGGTTCCATTTGTGTTTGTTCTGGACAGCACTTCTCAGGGGCATATGAATGTTGGCAGCTGGCCACTTGGAGGTCAATGCTCACTGGAACATTTCACTGTCCCTGTTAATATGCATACCAAATCAGAAGCCTCCCCTCCTGTCCACTCCATTGAGCCTCCATGGCCGCTATAGGGGAACTTCCAGGACACATATATGACTCTGGTTTTCCTCCCTGGGCAGAGACTTTCTCCCATACATTGGAGGAAATGCCAACCAATGCAAGATCGGGAATCTTTCCCCAACATTAGGAGAGCTAGCTGGCCCCACAACCAAAGCACTAACAGCCCAACAATGATCACTGGACTCTTTGGCTACAGTAATTTTGGATAATGGCACAGCCCTTGATTATCTACTGGCTGAACAAGGAGGAGTCTGGACAAGAGTGAATACCGCCTGCTACACGTGGATAAATTCCTCTGGGGAAATAAATACCTACCTGCATAAAATCAGAGAATAAGCACTTTGGCTGCAAAGAATTCTGCCTAATGACCTATGAGCCTTAGACCTATTTAACTATCGATTTCATCTTTTTGAAACTAACAAATTTCTGGAACAGGAAAAAGAAAGAAAACTCCAACTGGCCTAGACAAATTCGAGCTCAACCACCAGGGGGACGCCTGCACAGCTGAGCCATAAAGTGCTGGACAGTTACCTCAACTTCATTATAACGTTAGAATCTCTGCCCTGGGGCAGGAACATAAGCTTCGTTAACATAACCTATGGTGCATATATAGGTATGTTTTCTTTTTTTTTCAACATTTATTTATTTTTGGGACAGAGAGAGACAGAGCATGAACGGGCGAGGGGCAGAGAGAAAGGGAGACACAGAACCAGAAACAGGCTCCAGGCTCTGAGCCATCAGCCCAGAGCCCGACGTGGGGCTCGAACTCACAGACCGCGAGATCGTGACCTGGCTGAAGTCGGACGCTTAACCGACTGCGCCACCCAGGCGCCCCTATAGGTATGTTTTCTAAGTGCACATGCACAAACCTATGTTCGCCTTTTATATGCAGTGATGAAACTCCCCCTCTGAATATTCATCTCAAACCCCCAAGTTAAAAGAATTGGTTCAACCCTTCTCGGAGAGTCATGGCTTTGGAAGTTATTCCCCTTGATCTCCTTAGTTGCTGCAAATAAAGTTTCCTTTGTGTGACAGCTCCATCTGGTGTAGTCCATATCTGCAACTTACCAAGAAGCAAATGTACATCATTAATTCGGTCACAGGATGGGACACTAGTCCTTCCGAGGAATTCAAAATCTCCCCACTCTCTTTAGGACAAGATCCAAAAGAGCTAACTCTGGAAAAGAGCATGCTAGTGTATGTGGATGACATCTTAACAGCCAGCCCCACTCACATTCCTGACAAAAATACTGTGTTTATGTTAAAGTTCCCAGCCAGAAAGGGATAGAAGGTATCAAAAGAAAAGGCCCACATTTCTAAGCTGTAAACGACCTGGGGTTTATTATTTCCAAGGGACAAGGAGGCCTTCCCCAAGAAAGAAAAGTGGCAATATGCTAGCTAGCCCCACCAAAAACCCTCCAACAACTGCATGGGTTTTGGGGAATGGCTGGGTTTTGCTGTATCTGGATTCCTAATTTGGGGCTAACTGCAAAATCCCTTGGTGATAAACTCCAGGAAGCTGAGACAGATCTGAGTGGGATAAATCATGTGATCAAGCCTTCGATACAGTGAAAGCCATACTTACGAAAGCCCCGGCCGTAGCATTACCAGACTATGACAAGCTGTTTGAATTTGAATGTGCATGAAAGACAAGGAATAGCTACAGGGGTGTTAACCCAAAGCTGGGCCCTCAAAAAGAATGATAGTTTATTTCTCTGAACAGATGGACACAGTGGCAAGGGGTTGGCCTCCCTGCCTGAGAGCCATAACAGCCACATGCCTCCTGATGAAAGGTGAAAAAGCTAACCATGGCTCAGCCTATGACAGTTTGGACCCCATATCAGATCTCAGGTTTACTGGTAACCAAGGGGCATCCGTGGCTGTCCCAACACAGAATACTGCAATATCAAGCCATGCTGACAGATACCCCTCAGATGCAGCCGAAGCCGGGTCATACTTTGACACCAGCCCACCCCACTTCCTGACCTTGATCAACCAGCCACCCATAGTTGCCCAGAAGTAACTGATCAAGTTTACTCTAGTTGCATAGATCTCCAAAGTGAACACCTGTCCAGTGCAGAAGTCTGGTTTACAGATGGCAATAATTTTATAGAGAACAGGCAAAGAAAGACAGGTTATGCAATGGTGTCCCTGAACACCTTCGTAGAGGCAAAGAGCCTGCTCCGAGGCACCTCGGCCCAAAAGGCAGGATTGCACTAACCAGAGCCTTGGAGTTGGGTGAAGACCGAACACTAACTATCTACACTGATTCTACCTATGCCTTCTCCACAATCTGGGCCCATGGAGCCATATGGAAAGGAAGGATTATTGCATAGTGGAAAGAAAGAAATCAAACACAGCAAAGAAATCCACACCCCACTAGAAGCAGTGCCCAAGCCAAAAAAAGGTGGCAGGAGTTCACTTTAGGGGCCACAGGAAAGGAAATTGAGAGGGAATAAAGGGAAATAAATCAGTTGATGCAGGCACTACCCACTCTGTGCCTTTATATAAATTCACTCCCATACGTTCTTGCAGGGAGATAAAGAGCTATCAGCAGTCCCTAATAATCAGAGGACGGATGGTAAATAACAAATCTGGATACCTAAGCAAACTGCTTACGGGTTTCTGCAGAGTGCAAGTGACTCAATTTGTTATGGCAAAGAAGCTTTACGCTCATGGTTGGCAAAGGTTATAAACACTCCAGGGATAAAAGAGACTACTGAGAAAATAGCAACCAGTGCATCTACTGCAGGACAAACCAGGCCCCTCTAGTCAGGGCAGCTCAGATTTGTGGGACACTACCTGGGGAAGACTGGCAAATACCTTTTGCTGTCATGTCCCTGGTCCCTGGGGTTTCAAATACGTCTTGGTATTTGTAGATACCTTCACTGGATGGGTTGAAACTTTTCCCTGCAAGACAGAGAGGACAAATAAATCACCACGGCCTTTTGAAAAGAGAATTTCCTGACTTGCGTTACCCAGGTTGGGGTTCTAAACTCACTTCTAAGGCAGCAAAAGATCTGCACATTCAATGAAGTTTACATTCCACCTAGAGACTTCAGTCCTCTAGAAACACAGAACGGGCTAACAGAACCCTCAAAAAAAGACCCTGGCAAAGTTATGCCAAGAAACAGGAAAAATGGTTAAAATCATTACCGATAGCTCTCAACCAGGATAAGAGCCACCCGAAAGGGTAAAGTAAAACATAGCCTGTTCGAGATGACTTACGGGAGGCCCTTTCCTGAGAGCTCCGTCTCTTCCTCACCATCAGACCCCCAGGTTTCTCTGGCCATGAAACATGTAACTAATCCCCAATGCATGGTGGAGGCGCTCAACGCGTAGGGAAACTTTTGCCTCCCTCTACCTACTAAAATTAACCTCTCTCCTAGCAACCTGGGGATTGGTGTACCTCAACACTTGGAGGAGTGGGTCACCACAGGACCAACGACACCCAGTATGGACAGGGCTCCGCTTGGTACTAACAACCACACTTTCTTCTCTAAAACTAGAAGAGGTCGTGCCTTGGATGCACCACTCCAGAGCAAAAATGGCACCCGCACCAGCGGCTCAGGAGGAGACGCCACCAGCACCAGATGACAAATACAAACACACCTGGGCGCCATTCGCTGACCTGGCACTTCTGTCCCAGCGGCACCCATGGAACGAATAGGGGTCCTCACGTCTGTCCTGGAACCATTTTACTCTGCACTAGCTCTGCTGTTCTATTTCTTTAGTCCTATTGTCCATTCAAAAGCCCCTCGAGTGGATGAAATCATTTCCTCTGCTGTTATTCACCATAAACACTCCAGCTCATTGTTCATACGTAGGAAAACAGCTGATAGAGATAGTTTTCTAGTCTTCTTTCCTCTGCCCCCACTAACAACACCATCGCAGCCTAACTTTTTTTGTGGTATTACTGAAGACATACAAAAACTATGGAATTTTACTAATTATTGGGATTTTCCAGAGCAGTCTGAGATGAGGCTTAGGGCTTATACTTCCCTCATAGGAACACCTGCTCCTCTGGATGAGTCCTTCAGGAGTGAAGCTCATAAATGAAATCCAGAGTCCCAAACCTACTAACAGATGTCCAAATTGCACCTTCAATCCCGTTAAGAACACAACAAAGGAACCCGATAAATCTGGTTTAGGGCCGTTCACAAGGTATACCAATATTGCTCCTCAAACACATTAATCCCTAACATTAACTGCGAATCAGATAACAGGGACACAGACTTTCAGTCCCCATTTGGCCTGATGGTGTCCGGGTTTCCTCCAGCCCTCAAGGCCTTCCAGGGTGTCTCTCATCCCAGGGAACCCAACATCATCGTCTGCGGCCCCATCCTGCCAGGGGCAGTCCAGAGTTCAGATTTCTCCACCTCTGCCCTGGGCGGGGCGTGCCCATTGGTGTCGAGTGGCACTCTGCATCGCACGGGTGCCCTGTATGCCCAACGACCCCCTGTGACCCGGTCTTTCCAGACCCTTGCCTTGTTCCAGGTCCCCGCCCCCCCCGAACCCTGGGGCTGGCACATAGTCAGTAGGCATCCCTTCAGCCTGCCGAGGACAGCCAGTCCCCTCCGGCCGTCGGAGCTCTGGTGGGTCCAAAATCCCCAGCATGTCCCGGCCATGGAAGACGAAGCCCACGTCGGGGAAACTTTTCCTGAGAAGGCAGCTTGAACTTGGCGACCGGCAGTCCTCACTTGGACTGACTGCAGAATAGGTTCCCAGGCTGACTGGTCAGCCAGGCTCTTTCTGGAGGCTACCCAGGCAGCCCTCCGAGAAGGTAGGGCCGTGGGCAGTCCACACTAACTCCAGCTCTACCTAGAGGGGGAAGGGCGGCTGTGCCCCTCAGCCCTTGGAAGCCGGCAGGTGTCTTTGGCCACCCACCCAGGGCAGATGCCACCCCAGGGCTTCTCCACACACCCGCCAGGGTCCAGGTCCCGGGCTCCCCTGAACCTGCCTGGCCTGAGCAAGTGCTGCACGCACCGCACCGCACCGCGGCAGCCCCCTTCGGGCACCTGGACCCCCGGGGCAGCTCCCAGAGCACCTGCATAGCCTCTTGCCAGACAAAAGCTGCCCCTCAAGTTCTTGCCACCGCCATGGCCACAGCTCTCAGCGGGCCCCGGTCGGCCTCCATGGGAACTGGCTCCCTCCCCCATAGGGGCCCTGGCGCCCAGAGCAACCAAGGCCCCCCGGGGGCTCCTCTGCTGCGGGAAGCCCAGGCCACTCACCCAGGCCCCCCGCTCTCCCAAGGTAGTCGTCTTTCCTCCAGCCTGGCCTTCAGGGGCAATACAGGCGCCCTGGGGTCAAACACGGTTTGGAACCGGGCAGAATCCCGCTTCCCCGCGGAGGCCTGGCTCCTGGCACCCTGGCCTCGCCCTACGGCGGCCCTGTTCCGGGTCCAGGGCTCCCTGGCCCCCGTGACCTGCCTCCGAGCGCCAGTGCAGTGCCCCGGCCACACCTGGCGCGCCCGCCTCGGGCGGCAGGGGGCGCGCCAGGCCTCCGAACAAGGGGCCAGTCAGGAGGCGTGTGGCGCGGCAGGGGGCGCACGGCTCCAACCAGCTCGCTTGGACTCGGGGTGCAGGGAGCCCACGGCGGCCAACGCTTTGCGCGGCCGAGGCGGCACGATGACATGGACAATTTCCATTTGGCTTGTCCGACCGCTGGGTCCCAGGTGTGTGCTATTCCAGGGCCCCTTCCGCGCCTTCCCCCGCCCCCAGCCCGCAGCCCCCGGCCCCCAGCCCCCAGCCCCCAGCGGGAAGGGAGCCCGGGCTCTCCCGGCTCCGCTCTGGGCGCGAGTTGGGGGCGGGAGGCGTTGGGGACGGGGACGACGTGTGCCCCGCTGAACTGTCGCGCTTGGACTCAGGCACGTGACTGGTTCCAGCAACAGCCCGCTCCCGTGACCGGCTCTGCCCGCATTCCTGCCCTGTGCCAGGTCTCTGGCTCCCCTGAACCGTGCCCGCGGGCCCGTCGGTAGGCAGCACTCACCCCATCAGCCTGCTCGGGCCAGCGGGGAACGTCCGGGCCATCGGAGCTCGGGTGGGCCCACAACCGGCCTCATCGCCCTCAGAGACGTGGCAGCCTCCCTGCCCCCAAGTCTTGCGGGGGTGGCAGCTTCAGATGGGCCGCGGGCACACCCCATCCTCCTAGGCTGTCTGACCGGGTCCCACGCTGACCAGTCGCCCAGGGGCCAGGTGTCGGCTCTGGACGGAGGCCAGCCAAGCGGCCCTTCAGGCAGGTCCTGCCAAAGGCAACCCACGCACTCACCCTCCTCCAGCTCTGTGTGTAGGGGGGAGGCGCATGCGTAATGGAGGACGGGGAAGTAGGCAAATGCCCTGAGGCCCGGACAGCCCCCCAAATGGGCCAAGGCCTCTCCACACCCTTGTCCTGACCCAGGTCTCGCTCGCAATGCCCTTTAAGCAGGCCGCTTGCGCAGTAAAGGCCCCAGGACCCCACCAGGGCAACCTGGGTCCTGCAGGCCCAGGGAGCTGGGGCGAGCCCCAAAACACCTACATGGCCTCCCAGCGAAGAAACCTCAACTCTGAAGTTCCTTCTGCCCCGGGCAGCCTTCAACCGGCCACACTCAGGCTCCACTCGGGCTAGCTACGTGATAGGGCCTGGCTTCTCAGCAACCAAGGCTCCAGGTGTCTCCCATTGCTGGAAGTCCTGGCCAGTGGTCCAGGCCCTCTCCCCAGCAAGGCGACCCACTTTCCTCCGGCCTTGCCTTCAGGGGCGAATGTGGGCTTTGCTGTCAAAGGAGGCATGGCACCAGGCAGACACCGGGTATCCAGATAGCCGTCTCCTGTGCCCCTGCCTCTGCCTCCATCAGCCCTGTTGCAGGTCCCGGGGCTCACGCGACCCAGGCGGCCAGCGGCGCGTGCGCAGTCCACTCACCTGCCCTTGGGACCCGCCTTGGGCTACCCCGGGGGAGGTGGGGGAGTCCCAGGCCCAGGAAGCTCCTGGACTGACCCACCACCTGTTCCGCGTGGTCTCAGGGTGCAGGGAGCTCAAGCCAGCAAGTGTCTGCCTCATGCGGTCCCGGGCTCCCCCCAGCCATCAAGGCTCCCCGTGTCTCAGGGAAGGCCAACCCAGACACCCCGTGGAACTTGCAGGACCCCAAACGCCTAAATGGCCTCGAGGCATCCAGAGCCCACACACCTCAGGGCTTATATCCCAGACCTTTGGGGACTTTCAGTCCCCATTTGGACTAGCTGCTCGATTGCCTCCAGGTTTCCTCCAGCCCTCAAGGCCCTCCGGGGAGTCTCTCATCCCTGGGAACCCCAATATCATTGTGTGCGGCCCCACCCTGCCAGGGGCAGTCCAGAGTTCAGATTTCTCCACCTCTGCCCTGGGCGGGGCGTGCCCATTGGTGTCGAGTGGCACTCTGAATCACACGGGTGGCCTGTACGCCCAACGACCCCTGTGACCCGGTCTTTCCAGACCCTTGCCTTGTTCCAGGTCCCCGGCCCCCCTGAACCCTGGGGCTGGCACATAGTCATCAGTAGGCATCCCTTCAGCCTGCCGAGGACAGCCAGTCCCCTCCGGCCATCGGAGCTCGGGTGGGTCCAGAACCCCCAGCATGTCCCGGCCATGGAAGACGAAGCCCACGTCGGGGAAACTTTTCCTGGGACGGCAGCTTGAACTTGGCGACCGGCAGTCTTCATTTAGACTGACTGCAGAATAGGTTCCCAGGCTGACTGGTCAGCCAGGCTCCCAGGTGTCTCTTACTGGAGGCCACCCCAGCCGCCCCCCACGCAGGTCCTGCCAAAGCCAGTCCACACTCCTCCACCTTTACCTGCATAGGGGAATTCGTGCATGGTTTGTTGTGTCGCACTTACCTTTATTTTGCTGTGGGATATTGGTTCACTTGATGGAGAAAGGTGTAGAGGTTGAACTGACCAGATTTAGTTTTCCAGAAGATGTGGGTTATGATCTCTCCGTTTGACCGCTTTTTCTTCCCAAATGGCTTCATTCCTATACCGTCTGTTCCTCCACTGTCTCCAAATGGACCACATCTACTTCATGTTTCTTTGCTATCAGCAAGGTATCCCCAGCAGAGAGGCGCTATTGCTCAGTAATTTCAGCAGTCAGAAATGAGGGAGCCTTGTGTTTTTCTAGATTTGACTATATACTGACATACATATTTGAGTATGTACTGACATATTAATAAACAAACAAACACTGGGGGCCCCTGGGAGGCTCAGTCGGTTAAGACTCCGACTTCAGCTCAGGTTAAGAGTTTGACTTCGGGGCGCCTGGGTGGCGCAGTCGGTTAAGCGTCCGACTTCAGCTCAGGGCACGATCTCACGGTCCGTGAGTTCGAGCCCCGCGTCGGGCTCTGGGCTGATGGCTCAGGGCCTGGAGCCTGCTTCCAATTCTGTGTCTCCTTCTCTCTCTGCCCCTCCCCCCTTCATGCTCTGTCTCTCTCTGTCTCAAAAATAAATAAAAACGATAAAAAAAATTTTTTTTAAAAAGAGTTCGACTTCAGCTCTACGCATGGGACTTGATGCTGTGGATGCAGATCACTTCAGATCCTCTGGCCCCCTCTCTCTTTGCCCCTCCCCCACGCACACTCTCTCTCAAAAATAAACATTTAAAAAAATAATTTAAATTTTAAAAAATGTGTCTCTACCGGCTACATTTCTGACACTAAACGTGTGAGTGTTTTTCCCCTACGCCAACAAATTTTCCAAGTCTCCAGACTCCAACATGGTGTTTTAGAATTTAATTCTATCCTATCACTTACTACCCAGAGTGTTAGACTCTCTTCAAATATTGGTCACAAGTAATGGGTTCCCAGGCTATTCACCTTCCGTCTGACTTGGTTACAAAGTCAGGGGTTTGCACAATCGCAACCCCTCAGGTTAGGTAATTTGCTGCAATGGGTCACAAAACAAGGAAACATTTTGTATGTTTACCAGCTTATTGTAAGAGATATTACAAAGTATATAGGTGAACAGCCAGAAGAAGACATACAAAGGATGAGATCTGGAAGGGTCCTGAGTGCAGGAACTTCTGTCCTCATGGAGTTTGGGATATACCACCCTCCTCCCAGGTGAATGTATTTGCAATCCAGAAGCTCTCCAAACCCCATAGTTCAGGGATTTTTATGGAGGCCTCATCACTGAGGCCTGATTAACTCAGTCTCCAGCCCCTCTACCCTCCAGAGAAGATAGGAGGGGGTGGGGCTGAAAGTTCCAAGCTTCCAATCATGGCTTGGTCTTTCTGGTGACCAGCTCCCATCCTAAAGCTACCTAGGAGCCCACCAAGAGTTGCCCCATTAAAACAAAAGGCTCTCCTACCAGGAAATGCCAGGATATTTAGGAGCTCTGTAAAAGACACTCCAGTCACCCCCATCACTCAGAAAATTACAGGAGTTTTAAGAGAGCTCTGTGTCAGGACCCGAAGGCAGAGACCAAATGTTTTTGTGTGTGTCACACATATGTATATTTTTGTACATGTATATTTGAGGCCCTCCCTCCACATAGATATGATGTTGCATACTCTATACACTTCTTTCCTTCTCTTTTTTGTGTGGAATCATATGTTTTAGATATCATTTCATAGCGCCTACAGAAATCTTTCTCATTCCTTTTTATAGCCACATAGCACTCCATCATATAGATGTATCCTGCCTTCTCTTATAGACATTGGGTGGTTTCTCATCTTTTGTGTGCAGTGAGTGGCTTCATGCCTATGTCTGCTCATATTTTTGCCAGAGTGTTCTGAGAAAGAGTCGCATAAGTTGGATTACTGGGGCACAAAATAAACTCCTGTGTAATTTTACTGAACAAATTTCCCTCCATAGGGACTTTACCAGTTTGCATTTCCATGAGCAAGATCTGAGTGCCTGTTTCAGCACAGCCTTGCCAAGAGTGTGTTGTCAAACCTTTGAATTTTGTTAATATGGGAGATGAGAAATTGTATGTCAGGATCAGTTTAATAATCTATTATTACAAATGAGATTGAGCCTCTTTTCATATGATTAGAAGACACCTGCATTTCCTTTTCTTGTCAACCATCTTCCCAAAGTTCTAGTGCATTTTTCTGAGGTTGTTGGTATTTCTATTCTGTATTTCCTAGGTCTGCACATTCAAAGGGTCTAGAAACAAATGAGCACCCCCTAGACCCAGAGCGTGGCTTTCAAAGACCATTTCCCACTGGGAAATAAAGGCTCTTTGAAGGAAATGGCTGCTTCCAACTCTGGGATAAAAAATACAAGGTATAAAATAAGCCTGGAACATCTTGTCAGATGAGCTAGTAAGGAAGTTATCAAAGAGATTGATGTCAAATGTGTTCAGGAGCCAAAGTAAAGAGGAGGCACGGGTCAAACAGAAGACAATCTGAGCCTCTAAAAATTCAACGGATCAAAACACATAAAATAAATTAAATGCCCAAGTCCACAGTGGCACTCAAAATATTATTTTGAGTGATTGTTGCGAAGCGTTAGGAAACAAATTCATTTGGAAACCTTGAAAATAAAAGTAAAGAATCAGCTATGTATGTTGTCTTTCCAGTACCTCTACTTGGGGAAGTGAGGTATATGAGAGGAAGTGTTCTGTATAGAGGTATTCCAGCCAATACATCAAGAAGAAATGACAAATTTAGAATATCACTGATTTTCAGAGCCTAATGGAATAATGAATCTATTATTCATTAACAGCAGCTGATGACAAGAGGGGCAACCAGTCATTACGAGCCTGCTTAGTTGAAAAAGACAATACGATTCATGAAGTAGTCTGGCCAAACAAACAAATAAACAAAACCAAACACAAAGCAAATTGAACCTCTAGACCCAACTATAGGAGTTGGCAAAGGAAAATGTTAAATACACCATGAAGAATGCAATCAGCCAGGTCTAGCCAGCACTAATACACTTTCTGCAATGACAGATATATTTGCAATGTCCAGTACAGCAGCTGTTAGTCAACATTTTGCGCAGACCAATCTGTAAACCAAGAGTGAGTTTTTTCTTGCTCCAAAGCTGCTCCTAGGAAACTCTCCATGAGGCAATGGGTGTGGACTGACGCAGGGGCAGCAATGTAGCAGGAGCAGGTGTCGAAGGAGGAGCAGGTGTCAACCAGGTGTGAGCCACCTGCTTACACATCTTGTTTATGCCTTCTCGACCCGCTTCAGTCTGACCTCACATAGACCACCACCCTCTGACCATGGACTGATGCTGCATGTGACTGACCTCATGCCTTGGCTGATCAGAGAGCATCCAGTTCGTAGGCTTACTTGATTTCCCATAGTCAAACATTCAGCTTCTATCAGGGCTTAGTAGCAAACCAGAAACCTTTCCTGGAAAGAAGAACAATTAAAAGCATAAGAGGGAATGGCTTTGCTCCAAAACCGTAACCATCCATGCTATGATGTTCCTACTGTGGCCACCCTGGAGGCTCTGTCTGGTACTTTTACTTAGCAAAGAATATTCAAGTGTTATAACAGAAGGACCAAGTGGCAGGATGGCTTATACCACAGCCTGGGTTTGCTGCATAGTGTTTTATTGCTGGGAGAGCCCACTCAAAACTGACTTCTTTACAGCCAGTGGGTTGGAGTAGCACACTCAGATATGGTATAGTTTTGCCTTCAAAATCCAAAGAAGCTAAAACTATAAAACTCTTAAGAGAAACCGTAGACACACATCTTCTGGGCCGTGGTTTAGGCAATGATTTCTTAGATATGACGCTTAAAGCACAGCAGCAAAAGGAGGGGGGGGGGGAATGATAAATGTGACTTCATCAAAACTAAAAACTGTTGTACATGGAAAGACACTATCAAGAAAACGAAAAGACCACGCACAGAATGGGAGAAAATATTTGCAATCATTTATCTGGGAAAGGTCTAGTATTCAGAATATAAAAAGAACTATTACAATTCAACAATAAAAGAAAAATAAAAAGACAATTTAAAAGTGGACAGAGGAGGGGAGCCTGAATGGCTCAGTCGAGTTGAGCGTCTGACTTCAGGTCACAATCTCGCAGTTTGTGGGTTCGGGCCCTGCGTCAGGCTCTGTGCTGACAGCTCAGAGCCTGGAGCCTGCTTCAGATTCTGTGTCTCCCTCTCTCTCTGCCCCTCCTGCACTCGGGCTCTGTCTCTCAAAAATGAATAAACATTAAAAAATTTTTAAATGGGCAGAGGATATGAACAGAAACTTCTCCAAAGATATCCAAGTCTCCAATAAGCACATGAGTCATTAGAGAGGGGCGAATCAAAACCATAAAGAGATACCACTTCTCACCCACTAGGATGGCTGTGATAAAAAGACAGACAAGGCAAATGTTGGTGAGAATGTGGGGAAACTGGAATGTAATTTGGGGAGGAAATGTAAAACGGTGTAGCCACTTTCAAAAGCAGCCTGGCGGTTCCTCAAAACCTGAGTTACCATAGGACCTAACAGTTGCATTCCTAGATATATACTCAACAGAACTGAAAACCTATGTTCCGGCAAATACTTATACATAAATGTTCATAGCAGCATTATTCATAACGGCCAAAAAATGGAAACAACATAAACGTCTGTCAAGTGATGAGCGGATGAACCAAATGTGGCTTCTCCACACAACATAACATCATTTGATCATAAAAAGGAAGAAAGTCCTGATAATTGTGACGCCACAGATGAGCCTTGGGCACAGGCGAAGTGAAAGAAGCCAGGCATAAAAGACCACATATTGTAGAATTCTGTTCATAAATGTCCAGAATAGCAAATCCACAGATACAGAAAGTAGATCAGTGGTTGCCAGGCACTGGCAGGGAGGGAGGGAGGGGAGATGGGGAGTGATTGCCAAGGGGCTTGGGAGTTTCTTTCTGGGGTGATGATGATGTTCTGAAATCAGAGAGTGGTGATGGTTGCACCCTCTGTGAATGCAGTAAAAATCACTCGGTTGTAGTTCATACGTCTTTAGTCTGAAAACAGTTCTTCAGTCTTTGTCTTTCATGACAGTGACGCTTTTCGAGAATACGGGCCAGTTATTTTGTAAAATGTCCCTCAGTCTGAGTTAATCTGAAGTTTCTTCAGGATTAGATTCAGATTATGCATTTGGGAGGAAATGGTGTCTCTGTCTCAGGGAGGCACCTGATGTGTTTTCCCGATGTTGGTTTGTCCCGATGTCGGTTTGTCCCGATACTGGTGACATTAACTTGGGTCACTTGATACAGTTGGTGTGTGCCACGCTTTGCCATGGTCACTTTGCTCTTCTCCACTTTAACGTTTATTTATTTTTGAGACAGAGAGAGACAGAGCATGAATGGGGGAGGGGCAGAGAGAGAGGGAGACACAGAATCGGAAACAGGCTCCAGGCTCTGAGCCATCGACGCGGGGCTCGAACTCACGGACCGCGAGATCGTGACCTGGCTGAAGTCGGACGCTTAACCGACTGCGCCACCCAGGCGCCCCTCTTCTCCACTTTATAATCACTATATAATTTGTGAGGAGAACTCTGATACTATGTAAATAACCTATTCTTCATCAAACTTTCACTCACTAGTTTTAGCATCCATTCACGGTCTTTAAAATGATTTGTTTCTACTCAGACTAGAGGCTGTTTAAATATACTATTGTCTGATTCCTAACACCAATTCCTCTCCAAAAAGACTTTCTCGGAAAGTCCTGATTCTCTAACTATATAGATCTCCTGATCACAAGAGAAGCATCCAGGCTGAGAAAAAGTTTGACACAGAGAATTAAAAAGCAGCAGGATGCTTCCTCTTTTCAGATCTCTTTTGTTTTCAAATGTGAGCTCTGTGTCTAGACGTGGAAATAAACACACGATTGTTCAGCGTAATTATATCTATTGTTTGTGGGGCTGAATCAGGCTGGTGGGGGAGGACTGACTAATGAAGGTTAACACTATTTCTTCCTTCCCACTCTGGTGCAGATTAGAGCAAATACAGCTTTGGAAACATAAAATTATGTGTTCGATGTCTTTATTAAAGCCATCATTTGACTTCCTACTATTATGGTCTTGGCGATAGTTGGGTGCAGATTTATGGTGAGGCTAGTGCCTCAGGAGGCATTCTGGAAAATAAAATGTTACAGGAGCTAGCGATGGGGCTCCTCTGATCTCTCAGCAGCTTCCTAGCCACCTTAACGACTGTTCTCCTAGCCTCAGTTTCCTCATCTGAAAAATGGGAGTGTGGGTAATAACAAGACCCTGCTGATTGTTTAGCCGATTAAATGAGATAACACATGTGAAGCACTTAGTACGGGGTTGGCATCTCGTAAGCACTCTGTCATGTTTGGTCTTATTATCATTATTATTGAGCAGTCTTAACTGGGAGGGAGGGGGATGCTTGCTGGGACAATGTTTTTAGGAGGAAGATGTTGCCAGGCTGAGTGCTTAAGCCTAAAATCTTAATACCACTGCCCACTATTTATATCCATATAGCTTCATTCCTCTGGGCTTTGGGGGCCTTCATAGCTCCACATGTTGCCAATTAAAAGGCAAAAGCCTGAGGATACATTCACCCTCCTGCCCTGCCTTAGACAGCAGGGCCCTGGGAAGGACAGAGGCACAGGCAGCAGAACGTCAGTTCTAGAAACAGTGGCACCAAAATGCCTGGGTTGAAGTCTCACCTCCCTTGGGGTGCCTGGGTGGCTCAGTCGGTTGAACGTCAGGTCTTGAGATTTCAGCTCAGGTCATTCTCCCTTGGTTGGTGAGTCAGGAGCCCCACATCGGGCTTTCTGCTGTCAGTGCAGAGTCCTCTTGGTATCCCCTGTCCCTCTCTCTCTCTCTCTGTCTCTGTCTCTCTCTCTGCCCCTCCCTCTCTCTCTCTCTCTCTCAAAAATGAATAAGCATTTATAAATAATAATAATAATAATAATAAAAGAAAAAATGAAATAAATCTCACCTCCCAGGAGCCAGTGGTGTCAGTTTCATTATTTATATTACTCTGGTGCTTCAGCTTCGCCCTTTGTTGTTGTTGTTATTGTTGTTGCTGTTGAAAGCAATATTAATTACAGCATTTTTATATGTTGCCCTGGGGGAATTTTTGAAAGACAACAGCTTCTAGCTTTGTTAAATCCTCCAGAGCTAGAAGTGGACTCGTTTTTCCTCCCATCCAAGGATGGCAGCCGGACTTGACTCCATGTGCACGCATGAAACGGGACTCTTACAAAGGTAGGTGGTGTTAGTATATATAAAATAGATCTGGGTTCACCTGGACCAAGAGGGAGAAATCCCAAGTGGCCTTGATAATAATGGCCAGTATTTTTTCTATCCCTTATTAAGTGCCAGACATGGGTTAAATACTTTACAGAATTAACTCGTGACTCTCCACTAAAAGCCTTCTGACGCAGGTTGTATTCTAATCTTTGTTTTACAGATGAGATGTCTCAGGCACAGAGAGGCCACAGCTGGTAAGAGGTGGAGTGGATTCAAACTCAGGCAAGTTCGCCCTTTTCATCAACAGGTTGGCTTTTAATATCCAGAAATACAAGGAGGGTAGACCCCCAACATCACTAGTTAGAGCATCATAGATGGTGTTAAAAAAAAAAAAAAAAAAAAGAGAGACAACAGGCCCCATATGGCGTCACTTGTGCTAAGCCCATGTCACCAAACTGAGACCTATTACCCAAATTAGTTACAGTTTCAGCCTCTTCCAGGAGTAGAATCTTAAATCGGACAATCTGGAATTACCTGGTCGGCACTAGAGAGGCAATCAGCCTGATGCACCCCCAAGGGGCCCCCAAGGGAAGGTGACCTTGCAGCAAACAATCCACTCTTCACTAGTAACTTCCTCATCTCACCCCCTTCTGCCTATGAAAGTTTTTCATTTCGTTCAGCTCCTTGGAGCTCCTGTTCTCTAGATGGGATGCCTCCTGATGCATGAATCACTGAATAAAGTCCATTAGATCTTTAAAATGTACTCAGTGGAGGGGCACCTGGGCAGTTCAGTCTGTTAAGCATCTGACTTCTGCTCAGGTCATGATCTCACAGCTTGTGGGTTTGAGCCCCGCAACAGGCTCTGTGCTGACAGCTCAGAGCCTGGAGCCTGCTTCAGACTCTGTCTCCCTCTCTCTCTGCCCCTCCCCCACTCGAGCTCGTGTGTGTGTGTGTGTGTGTGTGTGTGTGTGTGTGTGCGCGCGCGCGCGCGCGCCCGCGCCCGCTCTCGCGCGCGCTCTCTCTCTCTCTCTCTCTCTCTCATTCTGTCTCAAAAATAAACATTAAAAAAAATTTTTTTTAATTTACTCGAAATTTCATTGTTTGGCAACAGTCAGCAGGCACTTCTGTCTTGGTTTATGGAAGCAGGAACTTCCTACAGGGTCTTGGCATCCTGGGAATTCACTGGCTGCTTATGGAGCTTGAGGAAGCTGTAGCCTCTGTGCAGGCATCACCCATCGCTGCTCTTTCTGTGAAGGCGTGTGCAAGCAGCGGGAGAACAAGCTCCTGGTGTTTTTTTTTTTTTTTTTTTTTTTTTTAAGTTCACAGCTCTGAGTACATTCTCACAGATGAAAACAAATTCACCACAATTTGCTAAATCTGACGACCATAGGCAGTGGCCGTCCAGCTCTTCCGCCCCATGTCCTCTCTTTTCTTCCAGCAGTTGCTGCAGAAACCTGCTGTCAGTTAAGTGTAACCTGACACTACCACCGGGTCCCTCTCGCTTTCTGTCCCAGGGCAGGTGCCTGGTCCTCCGCCATTTCACCTGCACACTCCCACAGTGTGCACACTCAGACCGTCTCTAGTTACCCGGCAACACAAATCAGATGATAATCAACACTCTCATCCACGTTCCCATATGGGCCAGTAGGAAGATTCCTTTGGGACACATAACCAGGGATAAATGTTGTGGTACAGGGTATGCATATTCTTAGTTTCACTAAGAAATGCCTGATCGCTCTCCAGAATTTCTGTATCAGTCCTGCCAGCGGGGCCTGTAAGATCCTATGCCCCAATTCCCACCAACACTTGGCATTATGCATCTTTCTAATTTTTGCCTAAAAGGTGTAGAGTGAAATCTCAGTGCTGTTTTACTTTATATTTCTCTAATTCCTACTGAATTTGAGCATCCCAGCATATGTCTGTTAGCCTGCTTGGTTTTGTCTCCTAGAAAGTGTTTATTTTCCTGCTGGGGTTCCTCTTTTTCTTGTTGGTTTGAAAGAGTCTGTTGTACATTCTAGATATTATTCAACTATCAGTGTTAGACACTACAACTATATTCTCCCATTTTATTTTTCTGTTAATTTTTTCCATACTGTTCTTCATTGAACATAAATAATCAGTTTTTTAAGCTTATTTATTTAAAATGTTTATCTATTTACTTTTGAGAGAGAGAGAGTACACAAGTGGTGGGTGGCAGGTAGAGACAGAGGGAGAGAGAGAATCCCAGAAGGCTTTGTTCCATCAGTGCAGAGTGGGGCTCAAACTCACAAACTATGAGATCATGATCTGAGCTAAAATCAAGAGTCGGACGCTTAACTGACTGAGCCACCCAGATGCCCCTATTTTTTTTTTTTTAAGAGGGAGAGAGACAGAGAGAGAGAGCCTGCATGAGCAGGGGAGGAGCAGAGAGAGAGAGAGAGAGACAAAGAATCTCAAGTAGGTTCTGAGCTGTCAGCACAGAGCCTGACTTGGGGCTTGGACTCACAAATGGTGAGATTATGACCTGAGCTGAAATCAAGAGTCAGATGCCCAACTGACTGAGCCACCCAGGCGCCCCTAGTTTCATCCATTTTTTTTTTCCTATGGCTTGTACTTCCAAGTTTCACTGAAGTCTTTCATGATACAGACTGTTTCCTATATTTATTTTAACTTTATATATCATTTTCATGTTTAGGTCTTTAATCCATCTGGAGCTCACATGTGTATGTGGCATTGATGTGGCAGGCCAGGTCCTAGGACCCAGAGGGGATCCTACAGAACCAGCCAAGAGGGTCCCTGAGGATGGAAATCAAATGCGAGCCAGCAGGAAGTGAGAGTTTATTGATGAAACAGAGAGAATAGATACAGACGGAACATCTGAGAGACTCAGAAAGCAAATGCAGGAGAGTCTCATCTTTGCTTGGGGGTCTAGAGTTTTCACTGAAGATGGTGGTCTGGTGTACGTGTCCTCTCTGGCATCCAGGAACTGGTCGAACAAGGACCAGTGCTCAGGTGTCCTCCATAAGTCACTTATGCCTAGAGCCCGGGGGTCTTGGTGTTCAAGGTGTTTGGAGTCAGAGGTCTCGGACAACGTTCATGAGGACTCCACCCAGTCCTGTTATCTATTGCTCTGGAAGGCTCCAAAGAAATCATTAACTCCTTGACCTTTACAAGGAGGACATACATGAAGACATATGGAAGGCAGGTCCTAGCAGGAATAGAGGCAGGAAAAGGAGCAAAGAAAAAAAGCTTTTTTTTTTCTTCATGGAGTTCCTTCACTTTCCCTTTCTCAGTATTATGTAGGGATCCAGTCTTTTTTTCTCAAGTTTATTTATTCATCTTTAGATTGAGAGAGAAAGCGCGCTAACACAAGCAGAGGGAGGGAGAGAGAGAGAAACCCAAGCAGGCTCTGCACTGTCTGCACAGAGCCTGATGTGGGGCTGGAACGCACGAACCCTGAGGTTACTGACCTGAGCTGAAATCAAGAGTAGTCCGCTTAACTGACTGAGCCACCCAGGTGCCCCTGCAGGGATCCGGTTTTATTTCTCTCCAAAATGCAAGCCAGTTTTTCTAAGACCACTCTTTCTCCACTGCTGCGTGGTGCCTAAAGATGCCATGTTTGTTATGACTTGGCCGAGTCTTCTTGAGACTATGGATAAGCCAGAAGAAAGCCCAACTGAGATTGGAGAGAGGGAGAAATGCTACAGTTTGAGCTCCAGATATTTTTAAAGCCAGAAACCTCCTATTTTTGTTTTTGCTGAAATGATGCTCTAATATAGTTGCTATCTGGAAGTTAATTTCATATATTGCTAAGATTCAAATGATAATAATTCCAGTCAACATAATTTATTCTCACTTGTATCAATTAGTTGAATCTGTGGTTCATTTAGTTGGGATTCTTTTGTTCTCTTTGAACCTGGGGTAGAAGAATATTATACAGTCAAAAATGTGTTTTCATTCTGACATAATTGGAAAAGATTTTGAGAAACTGACAGTGAAAAAGTCCACAGGGAAAACAGAGTGGGGAAAAATCTTTGGGCTAGGCAAAGATTTCCTACATACAAACCGCAAAGCTTAATCCATAACAAGAAATAGGTAAGTGAGAGTACCTCAAAATTAAAACTTTTCTCTCTTTGAAAGACACTATTGAGAGAAAGAAAACACAAGCAATAGCCTATAAGAAAATATTTGCAAAACACTTATTTGATAAAGGGCTTGTAGCCAATACATAAAGAACTTTCAAAACTTAATAATAAGAAAACACTCAGGGCGCCTGGGTGGCTCAGTCGGTTAAGCGTCGGACTTCAGCTCAGGTCATGATCTCACCACTTGTGAGTTTGAGCCCTGTGTCAGGCTCTGTGCTGACAGATCGGAGCCTGGAGCCTGCTTCAGATCCTGTGTTTCCCCCTCTCTCTGCCACTCCCCTGCTTGTGTTCTGTCTCTCTGTCTCAAAAATAAATAAACATTAAAAAAAATTTTTTTAAAAGGAACAGAAACCCATTCTCTCACAGTTCTGGAAGCCAGAAGTCTGAAATCAAGGTACAGGCACATTGGTTCCTTCTCAGGGCTGTGAGGGAGAATCTGTCCCCTGTCTTTCTCTTAGTTGCTGGGCATGGCCTGCAATCCTTAGCTTTCCTTGACTTGCAGATGCATTATTCCAATCTCTGCCTTTGTCTTCACATGGCCATCTTCTCCCTGTGTTCTCCATCTCTGCATCTTTCCTACTCTTCTTACACCCTAATCAAGTATGGCCTCATCTTAACTTTGCAGATTATATCTACAAAGACTTTATTTCCAGATAGGGTCACATTCACAGGAACGTGAATGGGGTTAGTATTTCACATATCTTTTTGG